GCCAGACAACAGCCCGCCAACGGGCACGCATGCTCCACAAATGGTACCAATTGGTGATGGACAACCAGGAAGACTTGGCAAAACTCATAACGTGGGAGAATGGCAAGCCAATGACCGATGCTAAGGGCGAGGTGGCATACGCAGCGAGCTTTTTGAGTGGTTCAGCGAAGAAGCCCCGAGGGCGGACGGCGACACAATACCAGCCAGTATACCCGGCAACAGGGTCTTCACGATGAAAGAGCCGGTTGGCGTGTGCGGTCTCATAACGCCATGGAACTTTCCGGCAGCTATGATAACCCGAAAGATTGGTCCTGCTCTGGCAGCGGGCTGCACGGTTGTTGCGAAATCACCGGGTGAAACACCCTTCACATCTCTTGCTCTCGCTGAACTGGCAGAGCGCGCCGGCATCCCCAAAGGTGTCATCAATGTTATCAGCGCTATGGAAAATACAGTCGAAATTGGGAACGCCTTGACCTCGAGCCCCACCGTTCGCAAAGTTTCCTTTACTGGTTCTACTAATGTCGGCAAGCTGCTTATGAAGCAGTCCGCCGATACGCTCAAGAAGCTGTCTTTCGAGCTCGGCGGTAATGCTCCCTTTATTGTCTTCGATGACGCAGACCTCGAAATCGCTGTCAATGGCGCTATTGCTTCTAAGTTTCGCAGCTCGGGGCAGACTTGCGTCTGCGCGAACAGGATCTACATACAAAAAGGCATCTACGACAAATTTGCCTCTGCTTTTACTGAGAAGGTCAAAGGCTTCAAGGTTGGCGGTGGTTACGACGAGGGCGTCACCCATGGCCCCTTGATCCACGACCGCGCTGTTAGCAAAGTTGAGGCTCATGTGAGAGACGCTGAGAAGAAGGGCGGTAAGGTTACTGTTGGTGGCCAGAAGATGCCCAAGCTCGGGTCAAACTTTTTCGAGCCGACGGTCATTACGGGTATGAACATGGATATGCAGCTGGCTTCTGAAGAAACTTTTGGGCCTGTGGCTGGTCTATTTCCGTTTGAGACGGAGAAAGAAGTCGTGGATATGGCGAACATGGCCGAAGTTGGCTTGGCAGGATACTTTTTCAGCAACGATTTGCGTAGAGTTTATCGGGTTGCTGAGGCTCTGGAGGTGGGGATGGTGGGTGTCAATACGGGGTTGATCAGCGATCCCGCTGCTCCGTAAGTCTCTCACTTCCTTTGAGAGAGAGAATGTCAGCTAATAGTGCGCAGCTTTGGTGGTGTGAAGCTGAGCGGGTTCGGACGGGAAGGCAGCAAGTACGGTATCTCCGAGTACCAGATCACCAAGATGGTGACGCTGGGTGGTATGGGACAGCCACTGCAAGGATCTTGAGGATGTCGTCCCGGTCGTACGATAAGAGGGAAATACTTTGTACATATTTAGAGGGTAGTAAAAGCAATATGTACATATTGGTCAAGCAACTCATGAGCCTAACCAGACATATTTCTAGTCAGGATATCACGGCCATGCGCTTCTCGCACCTCTTCAAAATAACGAGAGATGACTTTGCCTTGATGTTCAGGCGTGCTACAAGAGGGATTCGTCAATTGGAAGGATAAGTCCTTAGGAATGCATTCACTCATGACTGCCGCTTTCGATACGCTCGATAGGGCTGAGCGCGCCAAGCGCTTCACTCGGGCGAAATGGATTAAAGCCGAGGCCCAGCGAGAATGCACTATCTCATTCCCTTCATTGACCCGTACTACTTTCACTCTCTCTATCGGCTATGATCAGGACGCACCGAAAGCTATGAGTTCTCCAATAGTTCTCTCTGCGACGCTTCTAAGATGCCATGTCCGGCGAATCTAGCGGCTCGTCCGCTCCCTCCGCCTTAGGGGTATCACCAAATGCGAGTGGAATCCATAGCACCAATAGCTTGAGACATGATCAAGCAACAACAGAATCCGAAAGCAAGGCTACTCTAACCGCGAATCTGGCCCAAAATGAGCCCCTACAACGGAGGCATAGACCGAGGAGCTCGGGAGGGTTCCTGCTACAGACAACCCCTGCTCCTGCTTCGGAAACAAGACTCTCCTCGTATACGGAACCAGATACTACTAGAGATGTGAAAGGGAAGCGGAAGGCTGAGGAAGGGGACTTAGTCGTGCCTAAGCGTGCAAGCGCTCATCAGAGACACCGCCAGAAACCTTCTTTGGGAAGCTCACCGCTAGCTACCGAGGTCATCAACGTCCATTCATCGGATCATACAGATAAAAATGGAGCTTTCCAGAGAGACGAGCGGTTTTCAGTACAATCGGCTGCTAGGCAAAGCATGCGCTCAAGTCTCAATAGCAATGGTACATCTGCCGGGTCTGCCACTAGCACGGATCCAGTATTGCTATCAAATGGGAGAAGCGCCATTGGCCATGATACAGACCCTGCCCAGATCGTCACCCTGGCGTTGAACCTCAGCGAAAGTCGTCGCAGGAACTTCAGCAGTGGTGGCCTACTCATACCTCGAGATGCAATTGGAGCCCGGCGTATCATATCTTCGGGACAGCAAACGCTCGGGCTACCTAACAGCGCAAGCGGAGGAAGTCTACGCCAACATTTGCAACAGCAGAGACAGGTGTCAAGGAATATATCGCCAAAATCAGGCAGATCTTCCAGCAACAAAGGGTCTGGATCCGGTTCACCACACTCGCAGAAAGAACAGGTTGGGAACAGGCACTCTACACTATTGCCAGATTATGACGCTGGGGTGGCCGATGATGTCGTCTTCGATGCGTCGGATGCTACATTCTCACGCGCGAACAAGGCAAGAGTCGCGATAGAATTGATGTATGAGTACAGAAGGCTACTGCAGTATCTTCCTCCAATACCGACAAACTCTAAGAGCAAACCAGCAACGAGCAAAGGTGCTGCAAAGCACGAAGGTGAGCCATCGACTGGGCTTGGAAGACTCTACAATCCACTGCAGTATATCCGCAACAGAAAAGTTCGATTTCGTGAAAGACGACCTCTGGATGCTGAAGCAGCTGGGTGGAAAGACCTCGACCGAGTAAAGATCTGGGTAGATACAGTTGCAAGTGAGCGAGAAGACGGTGTCTCTCGTATCGACCAACGTTTCCCCTTGCCATCCCTGGACACAATTAGTGGCGAGTATCCTGTGGCCGATGGCTTAGAGATTTCGCGCGTTCCACTTTCGGCAGGCTCTCAAATCAGAAAAGTCGAAAGACCGCGTATGGATTGGGAATTTACTTCATGGGACTTGCTTGCGGACGCGCAATGGCTCACCCAGGATGACAATCTCGATCACATAGAGGATCGTTCGGGCAAGAAGATTACGACAGGTCACCCAAATCGTAAAGACAATACGCCGAGAGCAAGTGTCGAGTCGAACAGAAGCTCATTGCGACGCTCCGAGAGTATTGTCAGAGAACATGCATCTCCCGATAGGGTTCGAGCATTGGCCGGTCACTCCCGTAAGGATTCCAAGGACCGAGGACGTCGAAGCTTAGACGTGCACGAGCAAAGATCACCGGTCTCGGAAGACAATGGTTCTCGGGATCGTAAGTCCAGATGGCCAAAGAAGCTCGTTCGATCTCGAAGCTCCTCAGACTCGGATGATTCTCACCGGGAGAGCCGCCGCAAACAAAATCGTGGCCGTGATTATGCTGGTAGCCGTGATAATCTTGAGAGTGCCGCGTTGGAGAAGCAGATGATGGAAATGCTTGCTAAGGAGGTGGAAGCTAGCCGTCAAGTTGACCAGAGCCCGGAAGAAGACACAGATGCGACGGGGGAGCCTGACCTGAAGCCTCATGATGGCGGGATGAGGGACAGATATAGGGATCGAGACGCCAAACGTCGTCCAAGTGCTCCCCAACGAATGACAACCGATGTGCCTGTTATAGAAAAGCGTCGAATTGCAGCCAGGGCAAGTCTCGACGAAGACCGATTTCATTATCATCGCATGCCCTCAGATGACCTCGATCCGACAGCGCCTAACTCTCCTACGGCACCTGGATTCGTTCCTAGCATCTCAATTAACCTATCTCCGCCGGCAAGCCCACCATCGGCGGTAGCCTCACCTAAGAAAACGTTGACATCTCGAATGGGATCTTCCCGGCGCGATCGCTCTCGGAGCGTCAATAGGCGAACTATTGGCGAGAACGATCCAGACTCAAGTGGGATGACCGATGTGTCGCGGCAGACTACTAACGAATCTCAACTGGCGAACATGTTACGCAAGGAGCAACCAACGGGATCAAGCAATGGATTACTCACCCCAATCAAGACTGAAGCTGCAGGCATTAAATACAGGCCTCTAGATGGCAATTCCATTAGAAGCATCAAGAACATCAATGGATCCGACTCTAGGCTCCGAGGACTTTTCAAAGGCGGCAGGATTGCAGAGCTGGTAGGCAGCGAGGTCTCTAAAGTTGGCGATATGTTATGGAGAAAAGACAACAATCATGCTTCTCGGGTCACTTCTCCAGCATCAAGCTACGCAGCATCTGAGGAATCGGACATGGACGATGGTGACACGAGTGGATTAGACAGTAGTCCAAAGAATGACCTATCTCGGACCACAACAAAAGATGGAGGAGGAAGCCTGTCAAAAGTGTCTACAAACAGCGACAAACCTAGATACTACATGAGCAATCTTCCAAGCTTTCGATCGTCATTCAACAGGGATGAGCAATCCGCTAAATCCACTAAGGCTTCTCCGGATCACGATCACATCACCCGTCAGCAGTTAGCACAACGTGAAAGAGGAAGGTCAAGCAGATTTGATCGTCTTGCGCCGCCGAAAATTGATCTGAGGGGGATATCGCCCCCTTCTTCTCGAGAACCCTCTCCAGTCGGGTCGCGGACACAACGAACATATGATGAAGACTCTCGCCAAAGCAGTAGTAGCCGCTCAGAACGTGGAGTACGCAGTGCAGACAGAAGGCTCAACGCAATGCTAAGTATTCCTGGCAAAGCAGGGACTGGACGAGCTCCGCCCACTGGTCTCGCAAGTCTAGAGAGTAGGCCACGAGAATTGAGAGGACGCCCGGACTTGGAAGGCAAACGACAATGGAGCATTTCCGATCGAGGCGTCTCTACCGTACGCGGGACTGTTAATAAGCGCGATATTGCTCGAGTCAGAGCTTTGCTGCTCTCGTCAGGAGTGAAAGCCAACGAAATATCCCGCCGAGCGGAGGAGGCCCCCGAAAAACCCGCACCCTTCCTTCAAAGGCTTGAGGACATGTTCAAGGGTCCCATACCACACGTCTCTCGGTCACAGGAGCCATTACTCGCTGCAAGGATAGTGATCAGCAATATTGAGACAAATACCCAGAGATTGAGGGATGATGCTGAGCAATTTTCTCACACCACGATTGAGAAATTGCATGACCAGATCAATGCTATCGACGAGCATGTAACCCATAAGCTCACACCCCTCGTGAGAAATTCCGCGGATGATGCAGACGCCTTCAGCACAGAGCTTACAACTACACATACCTTGGCCATCAAACAGCTGAACGATAGCATAAACACTGTCCTAAGGCGACGCCGCCGGAGGTTGAGATACCTGAGAAGGATAGGATGGGCGACGGTCGAATGGACTCTACTAGGCATCATGTGGATGGTCTGGCTAGTGGTGGTAATTGTTCGGCTTGTCCGTGGCACCCTCGCCGGTTTAATAGAGGGGTTGAGGTGGCTGTTTTGGTTGTAGATTTACCCTGGATACCATGTTCATCGGTCATGCGATTCAGCGAGCATCCTACTGCTGTAGGCGTTACGATACCATCATAGTGTATATTTATCACATCTACTTGACTATCAATAATTCCCCAGGACCGTGGAGGGATTTCTAGAACTTTGCAGGCATGCTGCCAGCAAAAGTAAGGGGTGTAGCGGCATGAATCTCAATGAAGGAGAAATCATTTTCCTGCGTCGAATATCCTTCATGTAGCATTGCTCGACATGAATATATTGACCAATTCGTTCTGGTCAGTACGCGCAAAAGTGTGCAAGATTCAAAGTCTCTCACTCCCAGTCTTGGCACAAACTTTAACCTCGTTGGTTCTAGCGTACGAGTATCCGTCTCCAAAAACATTCCGCGACTTATGGGAAGTTTTCTGACAGCTTCCCTGCTAAGTCATCCTTCTCCACAAAGGTGCGCAGAGCTCGCAATGCTTCACCAAGCTCTGCCTCTTACCAGGCAAGTGGTCCGAAGGCCGATTTGCCCCAGATCTAGGACTCAATGGCCCGGAACGCGTCTGAACCAGATCATTCTCCAGGTACACCTCCTGCAATCACACGAGCTTGAACTGGCACTGACAGTTGGCTCTGCAGAGGTCTCTTTGCGAATAGAGGGAACATAGACACAAACACAAAGCCTAGCATACACGATTCCGACGCTATCGTTCTTCCTGGAACACAGAGCACCACTGCAACCAAACCCCAACCTCCTCCACCTGGGCCTGTACTATCCGCCTCACCTGCGCAACCTTCACCGCCTACACCTACCTCTGACGCTTCGGTACCACCTCAAAATGTCCCACTTATGCCTCCAACCCCGCCTGGAGGCAAGACTCAGACAGCACCACCTACCTCAGTGCCTCCGGGGACCGGTGCAGCTCCCATCCCTCCAACTACTCCACCATCGGACAAGCCTGCTGCGGCAATCCCACCTCCTGCACCTCCACCTCCACCTCCACCCAGGCGAAGGTCTCGATGGATTCGAAATACCGTTTCGTTTTTGATCCTGGCAAGTGCTCTGGGTTTCGCAGGCGGGACCTTCTATTCTTTACGCTCAGACAACTTTCATGACTTCTTCACCGAGTACATCCCATTCGGAGAAGACGCGGTCCTCTATTTTGAAGAAAGAGAATTCCGCAGACGGTTCCCAAAACTCACGAATCCTACCAATCGTCCATTCCCCGACTCTGGCAATAAGATCACGATACCGAGCAAAAGTGGGGTGTCCTGGAAAGTTGCTGGTGAGGAACATCAGGGAGCCGATTTGCAGACGAAAGGCCGCCATATGAGCGCTTTAGATGCGAATCAAGGTGAGGTCAAGATAGGGGTTGCCGGACAGACACCCTCTACTGCTACAGGACCTGAGAAGAACAAGGCCGTTGAAAAGGCGAAGAATGATGCCGGACCTCCTCCGAAGACTCCTCCTCCAAGTGAAAAGCCGAAAGCCGAAAAAGCTCCTCCCAAAGCGCCACCGCCAACCACAGAACCAAAGCCGCCCGCGCCTGTTCCGCCTCCTCCAAAACCTTCAGAAAGCTCTAAAGATGCATCCAAAAGACCACCAGAGGTAAATGAGCCTAGCAGGTTCATGCCGATGGAGAGCATCGATCCACTTAAGATCAAAAACGCCGATGAGCCCATAGTGCAGGATCTAGTGAAGATCATCAACGATATCATTACCGTAGTAAATGCCGATGGCGCCTCACACAAATACAATTCCACAATTGGCAAAGCAAAAACGGCTCTTGCAAGTGTTGGTGGTCGTATAATGTCTCTAAAGGAAGCCGTCAGGAAGTCTGCAGAGGAGAAAATCAGATCCACCCAAATGGAGTTTGACACTGCAGCCAAAGAGCTCGTACGCCGCCTCGAAGAGGAGATGAGGGATCAAGATGGCAAATGGAAAGACGAATTCGAATCGGAGCGGGAAAAAACAGTCCAATCCTACCAAGAGCGTCTGCATAATGAAAGCCAACGAGCTCAACAACTTTCCGAGCAGCGCCTCCGCAATGAACTCCTCCAGCAAGCTGTTGCCATGAAAAAGCAGTTTATCACCGAAGTCACCGATCGCGTTGAAACCGAACGGAACGGTCGCCTCTCCAAACTATCTGACCTCTCATCTAGCGTAACCAAGCTCGAAAAGCTGACCGCGGACTGGAATTCGGTCATTGATGCGAACCTCAAGACCCAACACTTGCAAGTCGCCGTCGAAGCCGTGCGCTCTAGCCTTGAGACCGCTGATCGTCCTCGCCCGTTCGTTCGTGAGCTTGCCGCCCTTAAAGAAATCGCCTCCGATGACGCCGTCGTTAACGCAGCCATCGCTTCCATAAACCCAACAGCCTACCAACGCGGGGTTCCAACTACCGCCCAACTCATCGACCGTTTCCGCCGCGTCGCCGCCGAAGTCCGGAAAGCATCTCTCCTACCTGAAGATGCCGGTGTGGCTAGCCATGCAGCTAGTTTCGTGCTGAGTAAATTCATGTTCAAAAAGACGGGTATGACGGTCGGCGATGACGTAGAAAGTATCCTTACGAGAACGGAAACGCTGCTGGAAGAGGGGAATCTAGATGAGGCGGCTAGAGAGATGAATACGCTGGATGGATGGGCGAAGACGCTGAGCTGGGACTGGTTGAGTGAGTGTAGGAGGGTGCTGGAGGTGAGGCAGGCGATGGATGTGATTTCTACCGAGGCGAGGTTAGAGGGGCTGAAGGTTGATTAGATGAGCAACTGTATTATATGCACGCCTACCATACGCGTCGTATCTGTACCGATAGTGTTTATTCGCTATCCCTTCTTGTTCGCCATGGGTCGCGATGCGTAGGAACCAGGACTCCCTGAAGCTCGGGCAAGACTTGCCAACGCAAATGTCCTCTCCTCCCTGACCACGAGCCCATCATGGCTTCGCTTCCCTCTGACCGCCAGCGCTTGTGTTTCGCCTAGCTGCGCCGTGGAGCTCCCCTCCCCTACCTATATTCTCCAAGAAGATCGCTCAAAGTGCTGCAGATATGTGTCCGTTTAAGACCGAATCCCTTTCGTATCTATACCTACCTACCGACCTTTCTCATTCCGCTCTCCTCTGCCAGCCCTCCATTCGAACCGCGCAATTTCCATTCACATACTCCGAACTACCGTGCTTAACCCTCACCATCGCGAAGGGCGTACGACCTATCGGCTTTCAAATGCTCTCCATCCATGTCTTTCGACCTTCTGCCCTGCCTCCTCTACACAACGGAATGGAGACGTGCGTGGGTCCTCTTTCCCTACCCGTACCGGACATCTGCCTCGCCGTGGGTGGTATGACCCGTCTTTGCAACGCGGAGGCTGGATCCGACCGATGAGGGTTTCGCCTCTGAGTGGCGGGTATTGAGCACGGTGTGGTCGTTGGTGAGCTGGATGGAGGGACGTACAGATGCCGCCGAGTGTCTTGGGACTCGTCCGCAAGGGCTCGGAGGATGTGGGTGGGTGTCGTGGAGGTGCGGAGAGGGGTGGCGGGGCAGGTGGATGGGTCATAGTGGTTGTGTTTGGAGGCGTGGGCTTTGAGGATCGGGTTCCTTTGGTAGATGGGTTCAAGAATTTGAGTTATGCTCTTTGTTGTGCACCCGAACATGTTGATTGAGAGATCTCTTCGCGAGGGCTTTGGGTACGAAGATTGAAAAGGTTGTCGATTCGTCGAAGTTTGCGGTTCAGGGACCTCGCCGTACGTCGAGCGTTGTGGAGCTGTTGGAGCTTGATCGATTTCGCAAATCCCTAAATGGTCATTGAAAGCAGACCGACCATGAGGTTCCCCGCTGTCCAATGCTCTTCTTGATACAAGTCTAGACGTGAATGACAAATATTTCCAGGTCGATGCCCCAATCGACGTGAGAACATGGGACCTCCAGCGCCTCGGGCTGCCACTTTTCCTGACGGCTTGCCTGCCGTCGGGACATCGAGTCGAGTCTCCGGACGTATCATGTCACCGAGTTGTACTTCCTCAGCAGCTCTTTCACTCTCCCACACCAATTCCCCGACTCCATAGCGACAACCTCGACAGTCTTCCCGTCAATAGTCTTCATGCCTTTCACAAAACTCGAATGCTTCAAAACCGCCTCCAACACGTCGGCATTGCCCAATTTCGCAGCGTGGTGGACTGCCGCCCATCCGTCTTGACCGACGATGTCTCCCACGTTATCGAGTTTTAGCAGAATCATCGCACTCTCTGCGCTGCCGTGACGAAGAGCGTGGATGAGCGCACTGTTGCCGTCGTGGTCTTTCACCGTGACCATTACGGAGTCAGGAGGAGATAGACTGAGAAGCAATTTCAGAGATTCGGTTTCGTCCTGTATGCACGCGTGATGGAATGTGCTCTTTCCGGAGGTATCTAACACATCGAGTCTCGCACTGGCATCGATCAACATTTCCATGCACTTGGGATCATCTAAGAAATCGAACATTGGTGGCCGGCCGTCCACATCTTGCGCATTGATATGCGGTCCACTTTCTCCGCCACAAAGTAGAGCAACAATGTCTCGTCTGATATCACCTCGCGTCGATAAACCCGCACAATGAAGCGGAACCTGCTGGTCCTCTTGTCGAACATTACGGTCCGCTCCTGCTTCCAAAAGAAGCCGAACACATTCCACAGACCCCCAGGCAGCCACATGCAACGGTGTTTCTGCCCAGCGGTTGGCCTGATTGATATTGAGCCGCTGCGGATATTGTTTCCAGATTTCAAGAGCGCTAACCAAGCCACTCAGTGCCTTAGACTCTGCTGCAGCGTGTATGATGTTGGCATCCAAATTTGATAATATAAAAGGGTCTGCGCCGTGGTTTATGAGGATCTTCATTTTGTCTGTTCGTCCAGCCGAACTGGCCCAGTGTAAGGGCGTCCAGCAGTACTTTCTGTCTTTCTGATCGAGGAGGTTGTGAATGATTTTTGGAGCCTTTGGTTTCTCGGATGCCGAAGCTCGAAAGAGCTCAATGATTTCACCGAACAGTGGGGACCTCTTTCGGTATCTTGTTTTCCACTTAGCCCAGTCCGTTCCTGCAGGAGCGTTGTTAGCATCGTCGACGAGTTCTATGAGCCTGATTTCTAAGTCAGTATTACTTGACGTAGGGAAGACCAGGAGTTGCGAGACACAATCTATGAGCTGTAAAACACGATTGGGAAGGAGAAAAGCTCTCACAGCTCAGGAAGGGTGCTGCGCATAGGAAAAATAGCGCAGTCCAAGAAATTCCTTACTGTTCAAGCGTTGGGCGCTCCACGTCTGTAGGCTTATAAATGTCGAGAACAGCAATGTGAATCGGCGTGAATTCAAAATCGCTGATATAGTCATCTTTTTGAGAAAAAACTTCCACAATGTCTTGTTCAACACGTGTCGAGTCCGCGCCCAGCGATTTCAAGATAGCTAGGTCAGCAGGTTTGCTATTCGCAAGTATTAGCTTCGTGAGCTTGGAAACTTTCATCGACTGCAACGAACCGTGTCCCAATGTCAGCAGCTTCAGTATCAGCACCAAGTCCTACAAGGTATTTCACAATGGGTAGTTGTCGATTGTAGGCAGCGGTCTAAATACGATAAGCTTGTCTCATATTTTCCCATGATTGAACTCACGTGGAGAAGAGACCATCCATCTGGCGCCGTGTCCCATAGAGTAGCCTCTCCAGATTTGATGCAGGCTTTCAGCTTCTCCAAATTTCCATGCTTTACATATCGCATTGCGTCCGACCCCTCTGATACCATTCGATAAGTGTTCAGGTCATAGCGAACCTTGATACTTTTGGATGACATCACCTGTGAAATGGCTTTGCGGAAGAATGTAGAAGGGACCACAACCTTTTCCCCAAATGATTTTGCACCTTGACAGCTGGGCTCGCTGCACTGATACTGCGGCGGTTTGACCTTCGACAAACCTCTAATTGGAATAGGCGTACTCCGTGCGTGGCATTTGCAAAAACAGTCATATCGGCACGCTCGACGAATTGCCAATGCGTCTGTTGAATGACCGTCGACATTCGTCGTCTGGTTCGCCTCGGGGTGAACGTGGACGCTGTCCACAAAACTCTGGACCAATGGAGATGTCGGTGAGGTATCAATTGAAAGCCTCTGTAGTGACGAGGTCGAACTTCCAACAGATGACGCAGTAGTATCGATAGATATTCTCCGAAGCGAGGATGTCGAGCTGCCAGATGCAAGCGTTGAAGGTTCAGACATTATGGAATCCTGGAGAGATGCGGAGTCGCTTTCTCCATCGTCTGTTGAGCCGATCTGGAGGAACTCTGGATGTTGCCTGCAGACCGCAAGAAATGTTTCTCTAAAGACTTGTATGAGTCAATCCGCAGTCACTTTTTACAAGATGGGGCTACGAACGCATGCGCTAATGCCAAAAAACTTTGCAGCATTGCACTCTGCTCCTTGATGCGGTCGTGAAGCTTTTTGAGGCCCGATTTGTGCTGCACCCATTTCATTCGACGTATAGGTGAGACTTCGGACTTCGACATTTGTACCAATCTCGTCTTCAGATCTTGGATTGTTCCGAAAGCGTCTTGAAGCGCGCTATGTATGACTTTTGCAGATATGTTGTGTCTCGTTTGGCGGCTCCGCAACACGCGATCGAAGCCCTTGAGAGCTTCGTCAAAAATCGAGACATCATTGAAAAGTTCAAGGATTTCTTTCTCGGCATCTTTGAAACTCTTCATTAACTCCAAAAGAGAATTACTGGTCTGGATGAGCTGTGACACTGAGGATAGTAAGCCGAGGGCTGTTATGGGATCCATGCTTGCTCTGCATTACAGTTGCGGGGATCTCTTCGGTGGGTCAGCGCAAAGTAACCAAACCGTAGACCACCTTTACGATACGCTCGTAGATGTTGGGAGGCCCCAAAAGAGCTCTCTAAGAGCTCTCCATGAAAGGTTAGACCTTGAATTAGGGAGTGTTTTCGTCTCAGTCTCAGTGGTGGAGGCTGATTATAGAGCCCAGTGCAAAGGTGATAGGCCAGCTCTGCATATCGTTCTATTTTTGCGCCCCACAGGCTTTCCGCCGCAATTTCACCAGCGACAGAAGTTCAAATTTGTTATAGAACATGGAGGAAAAAAGACCGTCCAGGGCAGCTGTACATTGAGTCGATTGACCACGAGAAAAATGCAGATCTAGAACACATGGAAAGCAGTGTACTGCACCTTAGAAGCAAGTCGTCAATGTATGGTGTCTAAAAGAGGTAGCACTGCCCCGCTCGTGGCGCTTCGCTGCAGGGCGAAATCACTGGCTACCACCGTGACAAGGGTAAGACCCTAGTATCATCACTCCAATCACATATCTCCGCACACCATCCTTTTCGGACTTTGTGACAAGGAGGAAGGGCGAGTGCAACCCCTTTTGACCATCACTTCGGGACCATGATACCCTAGAGGCAGGAAGGCTACGGAGTAGATCATTGGCGGATCGGTACTCTGTGCCGAATACTGTACAACCCTGCTCACACAACTCCATTCATGCAGGCGCAATGCAGATGTGGGTTTGGCAGTAGGTAGAATAATTGCTATCAGTTGCATGAGGGTGAGATGGCCGAGACATGTTTACCTAACGTCTAGTGACAGAGCTAGCGCTAGTCCATACAACAAGGGTGAAGGGAGCTATGCGAGCGAAGCTCGGTCCCGCTGTCATCCAAAGTCAACAACTACCCAGCGCTCTCTACAGCAACGACAATATTGAATAAAATTGGCTATCACAAATAACTGCGCATTAGGGAGGTTTAGCAACATTTTTCATAACATTCTACATAATGTTTTCAATGCAGGAGTAGCCCTACCCCTCGGCCGCTAACTTAATAATAATAAGGTAATAATACCTCGGGCGAGCAAAATACTCACCATGGACGGGGAAGCCCTAACAGTACCCGAAGCCCTAAGGGTGCCCGGACCCCTAACAGTACCCGGACTCTAACAGTACCCGGACTCTAACAGTACCCGGACTCTAACAGTACCCGGACTAGTGATGTGATTTTGACTTTGCAGTAATTACACTTTACAGTAATTACACGTGTAATTACTGTAAGACACATGAGCCTGACGGTCACGCTAGTAGGGCGCTAGTAGGTACTTAATATTTGGCCTGAAAGCCTCCTATTGGGAGGTACCATTTCCGAATAATGTAGTTGCTACATTGGGGCCTTGGGGGTACTCTTGCGAGATTTCTGCCATGGCGTATTCAAGAAATGAGGCTATACACATCTGAGGTACGTGTGTGACGTAATGTGGTGAAAGGATGACTGTAAAAAGGTGGATTTGAATAGAGAAGGCAAAATTTCTCCGCAGAGAATTGCCAAGACCATGGATTTGACCAATCAGAAGGCTTACATAAGGATTACTAAGTGTTTTACATGATTTACACGCTGTCACGCAGTTTTTGCCTTACAATACTGTAATTACTGTAAGGCACATGGCCTTACATGTAAAATCACATCCCTAACCCGGACCTCTAACAGTATCCCTATTCTTAAATAATTAATATCATCGCGAATATATATCGGATTATTATAAGTTTTATATCGTTAGAATGCGCTTAATTAGGACTATAATTAGTATTTAAAGATAATATAATAAGATAGTAAGATATAATAGTTATAGTACTCGTATAATATAAGAAGCCCTAAGGCCCTAAAACCCTAAAACCCTGAAGCTCTGGAGTACTGAAGCCCCGAAGCCCCGAAGCCTTGAAGCCCTAAAGCCCTGAAGCCCTGAAACCCTGAAGCCCCGAAGCCTCAAACCCTGAAGCCCTGAAGCCCTGGAGCCCTGGAGCCCTGAAGCCCTGGAGCCCTGAAGCCCTGGAGCCCCGAAGCCTTGGAGCCCTAAAGCCCTGGAGCTAGTAGTACGTAGGGCTTCGAAACCCTTACCGATATGAAAACACTTTACATAATATGTAAAGTGTTTTCATAAGATAACGATCGACGACGCTACCTATTACTACGTATAGTTAGACTATAAGATTACTACCTCTTTAGATTATGTAAAATATTATGAGTAATCTCAAATGCTCCTGCATGTCCAGCGCCGGCGATCTCCGGAATACCACCCTCCTGCTGTAGTGTACCCGTTTCATCTTGCCGCTTTGACGACTGCGAACCCATCACCGCGGGATCAACTCTTCGGGTGGCGGTGTGAATCTGCAACCCTACTGCATATGCAGCTAACATGTGCAGTCACTTATCACCCGTACAAGGGTGCACTAGTATGCTCAGTGCTCATGGCTGAGCCTCAACTAATTCTAGTTTTTTGCAGCTGTGTACCATATATTCATGTTGCCTATAATTCTGCTGCATATTTCACCGCTATATTGTACGAGTATAGCCGTCTACTACCAGCTCTTTCTTGAAATTTTTGCTTATGGTTAGAGCACTGATCGCTTATTGATGTATATTATATAAATATGGGCTCTTTGGAAACATCTTGGGCGACGTTACCAGAAGCACGATCCCCTGTTCTTCATCTCAGTCATCCTACAGCCGGAGAGTGTCAGACTGTCTGGAAGCTCAGCTCCCTTGCCTGGACAGACGCCCTATCCTTACCGCAATACCTCGAAGAATCAGCTTATTTGACCACGGTTCCTTTGGCAAAAGATGGAGTAATGACCAATTGGATATTGACTGACAAGACCCTGCCTCCGGACCAGCGGCCAATCCTATGCTCCTGTGAAACATTTCGCAAGCGTACATTCCTCAGTGATACAGGTGGCAATCTCAGCGAGAACATTATCCATGGTGTTGCCAGTGTCTTCTGCGACCCAGTACTGAGACGTCGTGGCTATGGCTCACGCTTGATGAGGGAGTTGGCAGAAATCTTGCGCACCTTTCAGGCCGAAACGACGAAATCCATTGGGAGTGTGCTGTACTCTGATATTGGGAAGAAGTTCTACGCAGACCTTGGGTGGCACCCTTTTCCTATCAATACGCATATCGAGCTCGACCCATCTGCGGCCCCGGACGCACCAAGAGCTACACAGCTTCTGCCTGGAAACCTTGAACGACTTTGTGAAGAAGACGAAGCTATGATTCGTAAAGAGTTGACCAGTACATCAACGACTGGAAAGACACGCATGGTGCTCGTGCCGGATCTTGACCATATGCTTTGGCATCACAAGAAAGAAGAATTCGTGTGTGAAAAGCTCTTTGGAAAGAAGCCTCAGATCAAGGGAGCGATCGTAGGGCAGGCTGGTAATCGAGTATGGGGTATTTGGACCCACCGCTTTTATGGAGACCCGGAGTCTGCTTCTTCTGAGAATACTCTTTATATATTACGGCTAGTGATCGAAAATCAAGCTACTACAGGCATACGTGACGCAGAGCAATCTGAAAGGCAAGTCGAGCAGATGAAAGCTATTCTTCAGGCCGCCCAGGGCGAGGCCGCCGAGTGGAAGTTACATCGTGTGATGATGTGGGACGGGCGAATTACATTTTCATACCCCAAACTATGGGATTCTTACAAATTCATACCCCATCTTACATTTTCATACCCCAATGGGGTATGAATTTGTAAGATACCACTGACAGGGGTATGATTTTGTAAGATACCATTTATAGGGGTATGATTTTGTAAGTTGCCATATCTATAGGGCGGGTTGGTGTTAGGAATTATTCCTCCGGGGGCCCTGCGGGGCTCCTTCTAAACACCCCTTTTTAACCCTTTAGCGGTAACTCGGGTTACTAACAGTTGGGGTAGATAGCCTGAAACACCCTAAAATACCCTTCTAATGATTTATAGGTATAGGGATGTTGTGTTAGCAACTCAGCTAAAAAAGCTTGGTCCCGGGGGTGTCTGCGCTTGACAGCCAGACACTCCTATTTCGACCTAAATAGGGCCCCGTAGGGACGTCGCAGGGCCCCCGTGAGGGCTGCTGCTAACATGTTAATGATATCTTATATTTTCATACCCCAGGAAATGGTAACTTACAATTTCATACCCCAAAGACTGGCAACTTACAAATTCATACCCTATTTTTTTGGTGAGAGGTATGAAAATGTAAGATGGGGTATGAATTTGTAAGAATCCCATAGTTTGGGGTATGAATTTGTAATTTGCCCGATGTGGGACCCTACGCCTCTGGTCCTGGAATTGGTAGGACGAACAAGAATCCAGCATCGCAGGATAGAGCGGGAGCATGAGGGTATTGCTAGCCTTCTGTGGTACGGAGAAGGGAGCGGTAAGGAGGACACACTGGAATGGCTTGGGAACGAGAAGTATGGGTGGTGCTAAGACGGCGTTTGATAAAGAATGAACGCCCTCGTACTTGTATAGATATATATATGAAGTGGGCAGAGTCGCTTCGGGGTCACGTCTCGAGAGCGTGATGTATGGCTTGAGTAGGGCTGTTCTCGCGCTGTTGTAAGCAAAGTGGTGGACTGTAGTCGCACTGCCAGAACATCTGACTAATGTAGCGATCAATCTTATACTATCAAGATACAAGCGAAAGTTCATCGTTCTGCTGCTCTGCATGAGTCATCCTGCCTCCCTCCCTATGAAAAGCCCACCCATTCGATTGAATAATACTCTCCATTGGGGCAAAGACAATACATGTCAACGACCCAGACTGCCCTTTCCTCCAATAGATTCCCTAGCTATCCGGGCAAATTACAAATTCATACCCCAAACTATGAGATTCTTATAAATTCATACCCCATCTTACATTTTCATACCTCTTACCAAAATAATGGGGTATGAATTTGTAAGTTGCTAGTCTTTGGAGTATAAATTTATAAGTTATTATTTCTTAGGGTATGAAAATG